TGTCAGGAAAATGAACCCTTAGATATGTATTTTAATGTTTTTTTCTTTCATGCATGTGTTTCTAACGCATTTATAAGATTATCTCTTTGTTGCTTTGTCTGTCCCTCCCCCACAGTATAACCCCTGCTTTCATTAGCCTGCCCATGCAATTGTAACCCCTCTGTACAGTATGTTCACAAATAAAATAAAATTAAATTAAAAAAAAAAAAGAGCTCAGGGATAGCACCCAGGCCCTGAGTTCAAGTACCATGACTGACAAGAGAAAAAAAAGACAATTAAAAAAAAATAAGCCAGGCATCAGGAGCTCATGCTTGTAATCCTACCTACTCAAGAGGCAGAGATCTGAAGATCATGGTTTGATGCTAGCCTGGGCAGGAAAGTCTGTGAGACTTTTATCTCCAGCTAACCAGTAAAAAGGCAAAAGTGGAGGTGTGGCTCTAGTGGAAGAACACCAGTCTTGAGCAAAATAGTTCACAAATAGAGCCCAGGCCCTGAGTTCAAGCGCCAAGACCGGCACATAAACAAACAAATCACACAGTTTGCTAGATTTTCACAAATGGAAGCATGTATGTATATCCTTACTACAAGTAAGACCTAGAATATACCCATCACCCCACAAAGCTCCCTGCACATTCCTGTAGCAGTGAAAGCAAACCTGGGTGGAGCTGTTGGGCATGTGGCTTAATGGATACTTGTCCTCTGCACACAGGTCGTTGTGGTGACGGACGGCTATCTCGGCATTGGTAGAGGGTCCCTGCGACATTCCCTAGCGACACACAATCAAAGGAGCGACAGCAACAGGTTCCCGCTGCCTTTCCCTTTCCCGTCTAAGTTATACATCATGTGCATGGCAAACCTGGAAGAGGTAATGCCTTCTGCTACCTGCTTTTTGGATGGGTTAGGTAAATCCCAGGGCTCGGTTTATTTGTCAGTATATTCAATGAACACTCTTGCGTACAGTATAACATTTAGATTTGAAAAGACTTGATTTCACATGCTCTTTGACATAACACTCACCTCTCCGAGAGTATAGCTGGAGATGCCCATTCTGCTGATGACCATGAAGGGTTGAGATGTTCTTTTTTTTCTGTCCATTCCTCCAGAAATGTTGACAGAGGTATATTTTAGGGTTTTTTTTGTTTGGGGGGGGGTCTTTTTTGGGAAGGGGGGAACATAGGTGTTTTTGTTTGTTTGTTGTGGTGCTGGTATTGGGGCTTAAAATCAAAGCCTGGATGCTGTCCCTGAGCTTTTTGCTGAAGACTAGCACTCTACCATTTTGAGCCACAGCTCCACTTCTGGCTTTTTTTGGTAGTTTAGTGGAGCTGAAGATCTCACAGATTTTACTACTCAGGCTTGGCTTCAATCTGCCATCCTCAGCTCTCAACCTCCTGAGTAGCTAGGATTACAGGCATGAGCCACCAGCACCTGGCTTCTGATGTGTTTTATTCAATACTTCCTGCTTTTCCCATTGAGTCAGGAATTATTTCACTTTACCTCAGTTTTTCTCTCTATCAAATGCTGACAATTGATGGCTCTTGCCAAACCATGTCAGGAACAGGTTGTAGGGAAGATGCTGTATGGCTACTAACTGTGGTCTCCTGAGAATCTGCAGAACTACTTATGAATGAAGTACCTCTTGTAACCTTGAGGCAGATTGCAATAGTTGAGGTAAGAAAGTCCATGAGTCTCAGTATCTCCACTAAACTACAAAAACATCTGGAAGTGGA